TATGTTAACCACTCTTTCCTATCCTCTAGTAACTTCTAGTCTGCTTGCTATTTTTGTTAACCAACTCTTTTATCTTCCACAGATGAGTGATAACTTACACCATTTTCTTTTCTGTGCTTGGTTTATTTCACTTAACCTATTGCCTGGCAGTTCCCCCGATGTTGCCATAAATTGCAGGGTTTTATCCTTTTGTATGGCTGAATAATATTCCACCTTGTTTATATATACAGATTTATTTTCACTCATTTGTCATTGGATGTCTGAGTTGATTCCATATTGTGACTAGTGCTGCAATAAACATGGATGGGCAGGTATCTCTTTGACATAAATATTTCATCTCCTTTGGGTATATAGTAGTAGGATTACCAGATCATCTGGTAGGCCTCTTTAGTTTTTTTGAGGGGACCCTCCATACTATCTTTCATGATACATATACTAATTTACATTTCCACCAACAGTATTTGAAAGATTTCCCCTTTCTCTGCAGCCTTCTCAACGTTTCCTCTTTTTTATCTTTGATAATAGCCATTCTGAGTGGGATGAAATACCTCATTGTGGTTTTTATTTCATTTCCCTGATGATTAGTGCTGTTGAACATTTCTTCACATACTTGTTAGCCATTTTTTATCTTCTTTTGAGAAATGTCTGTTGAGATCATTTGCTCATTTTTTAATCAGATTGGGGTTTTTTGGTTTTTTTTTTGCTTTTGGGTCCTTTGGAAATGACTAGATTAATAATAATCCACCCACCTCCGTGTCAGAGCCTGACAACAAATAGGGGGAAAATAAATACTGTTAACAAGAAAGCTAAAATTTTGTGCTAAAGGTTTCTTTTAGATGTCTTAGCCAAAGTGGAGTTGCTTAGAAACACTTCAGTAGGATAGCTGGGGCAAATAGCTGTGTCATATTATCTTACTAAGTCTCACCTGGGTGAGTTATTTTTTGGTAATTACTTTTAAAGGTAACAGTAATTTTAAACAATATTTAAGTCTAATCCAAGATAATCTTCCTTTTCTAACAAATCTGAGTATATTTGAGTGTGAATGTGATTTGTCTTTTAGTCATAGTTTCCTCCCTTTAAAACACCTTATGTAGCCAGGCAAGGTGGTCATCCTTGTAATCCCAATACTTGGGAAGCTCAGGCAGGAGGATCGCCAGGAGTTCAAGGCCTGACTGAACATATAGCAAGACCCTGTCTCAAATGAATGAATGATAAACACACACACATTATTAATAAAGAGAAAAATAGGCCAAGTATGGTGACATATACCTGTAATCCCAGCACTTGGAAGGCTTGAGGCAGGATCCTTGCCACAAGTTCAAGCCCAGCCTCGACTACATAGTGAGACGACCCTGTCCCAAAAAAAAAAGACAAGGGCCAGGGATTTGGTTTAGTGATTCTGCCACCTGCCTCACCAAGCAGAAGGGCCCGAGTTCGATCCCTGGTACCCCCCCCCAAAAAAAAGACTTAAAAAGAGCAAAATAAAAGATAATAGGAAGTAGGGAGATCTTTCTCAAATGGGAAGCAGAACAAGAGATGGGAGGAAGCAAAGGAAAGGGGGGTAGAAAAGGGAATTGGGATGTGTTAAGTACATGTACCTGCTCCACACAAGGAATGTAAACAAATATGTACTCTAAATGTGGACTAATAAAAAATAGAAGCTGGAAAAAAAAATGTTTGAGGGAAAGGAGAGAAAATGAACTATTTGAAATGGTAAAATAAGTTTAAAAATCTTATTTATATATCATGCTTTGTAGTTAACAAACTCTTTTCATATATGTTTTGGTTTTTTGAGACAGGGTCTCACTATGTAGTTGAAACTGACCTGGAACTCACTATGTGGCCCAGGCTGGTCTCGAACTCACAGCGATCCTCCTGCCTCAGCCTCCCAAGTGCTGGGATTACAGGTGTGCGTGTAGGAATGTGTGTCCCATGTGACAAGGGGAAAGGTGTGACTTAGCCCAGAGCCACGTAGCTAATACACCCAACATTTGTGCTGTGTTTGGAGTTACAAAGGGAGACAGAATAACAGAGTATTTGCAAGGGTAGGCCCTGAGACAGAATTGGCCTTTTGTACTGGGTTCACCCTCAGACATTTTGTACAATCTTTATGGCCTGCTTCCTTGTCTGTAAAATGGGGGTGCCTCCTCTAGTTCTGTAGACTATCCAAGTGGATATGAAGCACTTTAAAATTGACTAGTATGAATGTGCTGTGTGCATGTACCAGATCCCTGCAGTGAATGTAGTCATTCTGTACAGCAGATGTGTACCAATAAAATTTTAAAATTTTTAATTAAAAACAATGGGCTAGCCAGGCATAGTGGCGCACACCTATAATCCCAGCACTCGGGAGGCTGAGGCAGGAGGATCACTATGAGTTCAAGACCAGCCTGGGCTACACAGTGAGTTCTAAGTCAGTCTCAACTACATAGTGAGACCCTGTCTCAAAAAACCAAAAAAAAAAAAAAAAAGGCTGGTATGACTTGAGATTATCTTAGCTGTAAAATAACAGATTTCAAAGATTTAGTTTATCTTCATACTATCATTAGTTATTAATAGTCTTTTGTATTGGTTACATGTTGAGATGATAGTGTTTTAAATATATTGTGTTAAAAGTATGTTGAAACTGTCATCTAGTTTAACTTTGAAAATATCATGTTAAGGGGCCAGAGATTTAGCTCAGTGGCACAGCACTTGGTTCACAAATGTGAGGTCCTGAGTTCAATACCTGGTAGCCCCCCCCCGAAATAAATATATATATATATATATATATAAAACTACATATTTTATTTTTATATAAAAATATATGCACAATACGTAGTTAAGATATATTTGGCTTGTGTTGTATTTCTTTTGAATAGCTCTACTCGAGATTTAGAATAGACCAGTGACCGAACCCGTGTCCACAGCGGGCATGTAGAGCTCTCTGTGTTGGCATCAGGTTTAACTGCAGTGTTGGCACTTCGTGATAAATATGTGGGTTTTGGGTTGCAGTTTGGGCACACAGACTAAAGGGTTCGCCATCACGTTTTAGTCTCTGGCTCCCCAAGTCCAGCCAGGTGCCTGTTATTATTTGTATCATTTTGTTTTGTTTTTCCAGTGCTGGAGATTTAATCCAGGATCTTTACATATGAGGCAAGTGCTCTACTACTGAGCTACATCCTCGGCACTAGATGTCCGTTTTTATAGCTAGCTTTATTGCAGCTACAGCTTTGTTCATTTATAATATTGTATGTGTTTGCCTTCATGTTACAGAATTGTGTGGTTGCTACAAACCCACATGGAATTTAAAGCCTAAAATATTGACTATTTAGTTCTTGCCAGAATAATTTTGCTATCCTGCCCTAAACTAATTGACAGATAGGCAAGGTGTTGTTGCCTTTACTTAAGTGTGGTTAAGGCAGAGACATAGGAGGTAGATTAGTGACTGCCAGAGAGGGGAGTGGAAGTGACTGCTGCAGGTTACAGGGTTTCTGGGAGGGGCTAAAGAAAACACTAGTGATAGTTTCGCTACTTAGAACAAACTAAAGCATCTGAATTGCACACCTTATTTTTTAAATAAATTTTATCCCCCCCCGCACACTTTAAAAGGGTATGTGGATGACCTCAACTTGTAATAAATAGATATGTCCTGTTATGGTAGAAATAATAAAGCAGCATGTTAAACATGAGGCATATTAATGATAACATGCAAAGAAAGAAATGGAGATCAGTTAGGACAATAAACTACTTTTAAACATACATATATATTCATATATACAGAGAGAGAGAGAGTCCCTTGTCAAAGACAATTTTTAATCACTGTTAACAGTTCATGTTACTTGAGAATATGTTGGTTGTCTTTCGTGCTTTGTGAGGATACCAAAATTTGCAGGTATACTGTATTATTTCAGGGATAATAAAACTCCAGTCATGTTAAGTGTAGATGAAGTTTTTGCCTCGAATATTTCTATCTGAGGTTGGTCTAGTCAGATGGTGTGAAACCCACAAATACAGAGAGCTAACAGTTTTGGCAACTTGTTTATTGATAGGAAGAGCACTTAGCTGTCATTTATTGCTTACTCAAACTGTTTTTGCTGCTTACTCCTCTAAAAGGTTTATAATTAAGATACAACCTCTTATTTAGCTGTACGCTTACTTTAATATAGTACACAATAACACATAGCTAGTCTCAAACAGCTGAGTGAGTACAAAGTATAGATAAGAACACTTTTTATGAACATTAATTCTCCTAAAAACATTTACCTAAATATAGAAAGCATAGCTTTATAGAATTTTTGGCAAGCTTTTGGAAGGAAAAAATATTAAGCAAAAAGGAGTTGGAAGACCATTCTAATATGTTTTTATCTTGTATTGTGTAGCTATTTTATCTTTATTGAATTGTTAAAACATCTACTGTATACAAATCTTACTTTTACATTGCTATATGACGCTGACAAAATAGTACTTGCTTTATAAAATTGATTCATTAATTTGTTATACACAGGGTTTATCAACAATGTGCTTTTATGCAATCTGAAAACCAAGTCAGCACATCATTTTCCTTCCAAACACTGGCTATGGGTTTTAATTTTATTGCTCTGAAAACAGTTTGTTTTACAGCACTTTTGTTTGTGCATGATATCTAAGAGCACAGGCTTTGGAGCCAGACAGACCTACTTTTTAATCACAACTTAATTAACTAATTTAGTGTGACCTAATACAGGCTATTTAGTATTTCTCTTCATGTCCATTTTCTCATTTCTAAAATGCGGTAATACCTTCTCCCTTGAGTTTTTTTTAAAAGAAATAAATAAGAAAATGAGAATAAAGTACTTAGCACATAGTAATCATTCAAGATAAATAGTAGTTTTATATTATTGCCACTTACTATCATAAGTTTTTAAAATCAAACTAATAAATTTAGTTGTCAGCATCATACATTTCACTATGTATTTTACTGACTACTACCTTTTCATAAACATAACAAAGTAATAAGTAACATTCTATTTTACTTTCAGTCAAAGAAAAATAAGAAGAAATCAAAGTCAGATGCTAAAGCAGTGCAAAACAGTTCACGCCATGATGGAAAGGAAGTTGATGAAGGTATTTGAGCAAGGGAAAGGACTCTAGAAAATTTTTAAATCTTTTTATTTTTTTAACCAAGTTGTATTATATAAAAGCTGCATTCATTCGTTTCACTTAATCCTATAGATCTTTTTTAATTACTGCAGATTTTAAATATAGATCTGTAGCATTGTTAGGAAACACTTTTGTTATAAAGATTAAGGCTCCAGTAGTGATTTTCCTGAAGGGAACTACTTTGAAATTTTAGGTCTATCTCAGTATTTTGAGCAGCTGAAAAGCCATTCATCTTGTCTTTGTTTCTTAAGTATGGTGTGGGCTTTCTTCATTATTCTTATATTTGCCATCCCTGGAAGGCTATGTACAAATCTTGAACAAGCCATTTATTATCATAAATTATTAAGCCCATTTATTAGGGACTATATATGGGTTGCTTTTTTTTTTTTCATTTCTATCCAGCAAGATAAAAAGATGTATCATGATTTAATTCTATCACTTTTTCTAAACCATAGAAAACAGATTAGATTTTTTAAATTTACTAGAATAAATAACAGTAGTTTGTTGCCTAACACAGCATAATGAGATTAGAATAAATTAAATTAACACTCTTGGTTTTTAGCCTAATACCTAAATTTATCATGATATTTTGTATGCCCCACCCCATTTTTCCTCAGAACTACAACTTTTTGGTTTTCCCCTTACTGAATAACATTTTTTTTCTGGGGCTATGTCAGGAGCCTGGGAAACTAAAATTAGTCACAGAGAGAAACGACAACAGCGTAAACGAGATAAGGTGCTGACTGATTCTGGTTCATTGGATTCAACTATCCCTGGGATAGAAAATACCATCACAGTTACCACCGAGCAACTTACAACTGCATCATTTCCTGTTGGTTCCAAGAAGAATAAAGGTATATTAGTGGAGCATAAGAGCGGTACATCAAATGAGACTCCTTTAAATTAGATGTACAAAATATCATAATGTCAAAATCTTTGAACTGCTACCATTGTGCTGATATACCCTTCTTCATGAGAGCGTGGTTTAACTAATACCAGCAGTGTTAATTGATACAGCTTTCCTAATGAATGGCTTATTAAGTTAAAAGTTGCCTTTGTGCCTTGAGTCACATGAGAAAATGATGTTGTTTCTTTTCCCTTTGTGTATTGCTTTGCCCTAAGTCCCTTGCACATCTCCATTTCTTACAGTGGATATTTACTAAATGGAATTACTTATCACCATTCTGCATGTTGGATGCTTTCATTCCAAAATGAAACAAGCATGTCCTGGTTAGTGCAGGGTGCATCTGCATTTATTATCACCCCCGCTTTTGAGAATGTTTGATACAACCAGACCAGAACTTCAAAAGTTAATTGAGCTGATGTTCCTCCTCCCAAGTGTTTCAGATGTCCCACTACCCAGTTCTGGTAGCCTCTTGGTCACAGTGTACATTGCCATCATTGGGCACCAGTCTGCAGAATGACGCTGTTCGACTTGTTTCAGAGTATTGGTTTATGTTCCTTTGTCTTTGTTAATGACCTCATCTCCCCATGCCTGAGTTGTTTCCTGATCACTTTCCTAGCCTTGTTACTTTTTACTGCCTTGTTTTGTATATTGTTGGAGTGTATTGCTGTGGTACACCAGTGATCTCTACTTACCCATTGATTTTCTCTCACTTATCAGCTGTGTATTAGTTTTTGTTGGTGATCCTTTTTCACTGTCTTGTGCATGCCTTCCTTGCTTGCACAGTCCTGTTTCATGCTTTCTTTTTAATGCATTGTGATCATTATACTTTTTAGTGTCAGAGAAATAGTATTTTTGAATTGAAATATTTATTCTCATCTCTTGCCATATTTTCCAAGTTCTAGTCCCAAATACTGGCAGAGTTCTTACATTGATGTGTTTGCTTCCAGGATTGTTGAAAAGGCAGCTGGTATGGTTGAGAGGTGGCAAAGTTGAATCCAATTTCAGAGCCCAGTTCTCCACTTAATACTTAAAAGAATCTTGATAGCCATTGAAAAATAACCCAATTTATATTTGGGCAATTTTCCATGTTAGTTGACTAAGAATATGGTAACTAGAGAACTCAGTTCCTTATGAATACATGAAATGTGTTATAAAATTGGCTTTTTTCCAGTTTAAGAATTTGGCACTTGAAGAAGCAATTATAAATAATAAGTAAAAATTTAAGCTGTATATTACTCCTAATTTAATGTGCATAGTGGCCTGTTTAGTATTAAATAAATTTTATTTCTATTTTAACCAGGTGATTCTCATCTAAATGTTCAAGTTAGCAACTTTAAGTCTGGAAAAGGAGAGTCTACACTTCAGGGTGAGAGAAAATTACATGTAACTTAAAGGCCCATCAAAATAGAAACTTACATACTTGTCTCTTTTCTCACACAGATGACACAGAAGGAAAACAAAAGGCTTAGAATAAATTAATTACTCAAGAAACAATCACAACTCAGAGATTTTAGAAAATAGGTAATAGGAAAAATCACACCCATTTCTCAGTTTGTGGTATGTTCCAGCTATATATAAAAACTTCCAAGGGCCGGAGATTTAGCTCAGTGGTTTGGTGGCCTGCCTTGCAAGCACAAGGACCAGTTCAATTGCATGCCTATAATCTCAACACTTGGGAGGCTGAGGCAAGAGGATCTCTGTGAGTCCCAAGCCAGCCTGGGCTACATAGTGACTTCAAGGTCAGCCTGAACTACCTAGTGAGATCCTGTTTAAAAAAAAAAAAAAAAAAAAAACTTCCAGTAATAATTTGTGTGCAATTTTTGTTTTTGCTTACATCACTTAAGCTAATAGAGAAGGATCATTGCTGGATGTTAGTCTAAAGTAGGGATATTCAGGATGATAGATTTTACCCCTGTGTATTAAGAAAAAGTTTTAGTTCTTAAATTTTTTAACTGCTTCCTTATATTGAGTAATATTTCTCAATAAATGGGACTATTATCTAAAGTTATTTTGGATCATCACAGATAGAAAATACATCTTATTTACTCAGTAAAAATGATTAAATTAAATACAGTGACATATAGCTGACCTGAAAACAGAAGTATTGTAGAAGAGCAAATTCAGAAATGAAAAGCACCTTCTCATTTCAGGCTTGTTCTCACCACTGTCAGCTTCCCTTGTGCCCGTGATTCTTGGTCCTGGCTACACATTACAATCACCTAGGGAATTTCCCCTCAGAAAGCCCCACAGGCACAGGCACGCATGCATAAGAAGACACATGATCTTCACAATCACATACATACACACGGTACCCGGGCTGAGGCTCCAGAGTCTGTATTTAAGGAATTTCTCACTTGATTTTAGTATGCAGCCAGGTTATAGAGTCACTGCCTTATACATAATACACAAACTAAGAAAGAACATATAACTTAGCAGAAGCTTTCATATTCTTAGTGGGTGAGTATTCTAAGTATACTAGAATTATGTTTCATTTTCTCCTATTTGCTTTGTTGTACTTCCTTTGATCCAGTCATTCTACCATAGAAAACATCACTAGTGTATATGTTATAGTTAGGTCCTCTATTAATTTTTAAGTTAGAAGGAAACCATGGTGACCATGTCACTTTAAAATTTATTTTTATCTTTAAGGCTTAAGCTGTTTAAAGGGTAGTAAGAGAAAAAAGATAATGCATATAAGCCAAGCAAGTGTAGAAATTTGAAAATATCCCGTTTTTAACAAGTCATGTACCTGTTTTTTAATTTTCCTTTTCTTTTCTTAAGTTTCTTCAGGATTGAATGAAAACCTTACTGTCAATGGAGGAGGCTGGAATGAAAAGCCTGTAAAGTTCTCCTCACAGATGAGTGCAGGTGAGGAGAAGTGGAACTCTGTTCCACCTGCTTCTGCAGGCAAGAGGAAAGCAGAGCCTTCTGCTTGGCCCCAAGACACCAGCGACACTAATGTGAATGGAAAAGACTGGGGAAGAAATTGGAGTGACCGTTCAATATTTTCTGGCATTGGTAAGAACTGTTAGAAAATTTTAAGTCTATTTAAAGTTGCTGATTGGTGTTTTTTTTAATTTTTCAAGAATGGAAAAAAATCCATCAAAAGAAAATTTAGTCATGCCATGCAGAAATGATAGTAACAATTAACTCATCTCAGATTCTTTGCAAGAAACAAAGTGAGAGCTAAAGTGAATAACATTTACCATTCATTCTTTACATAATGTTTTTGAATACTCTATCACATTTTATTATCAGCGTAGCTAACTGGTATAATTGTGTATTCTTGATGTGATGATACATTTGTGAGCAGACTTTGATTAACTAAAAATAGAAGTGCAGTTTATAGAGTATTTTATAGTCTGCAGAGTGCCTATTTATAATTAAATTTTCTCCCAGATTTTTTTTTTCCTCCAGATTTTTTTTTAAGACAGTCTTGCTCTGTAGTTCATAGCCTCAAACTCCTTTTCCCTCAGCTCCCAAGTGGTGGGATTAAGGCATGCACCACCATGTCTGGCTCTCCCAGATTTAAATAATAAAGACCAGTTTTTGAGAAGCTTATTTCTAGTAGCACTCTTAAGTTAAAAACAGCTTAATTTTCAGTGTGTGGGCATATATCAGAAAAGAAATCCATGTTGAATATGGAAAACTGCAAAAAGGGGAAAACCCAATTAGTATACCACCCAATGATAATGACTCAGTTTTATTTTTTTATTTCTTTATGATCTTTTCCGGTATATGATTTTTGTTTCTGATATAGCTCAAATTAAATATGCATTTCTGTTTTTCTTTTCCAAACACCCTCCTCCTAACATTGTAGCAGACATTTTCCTTGCTCTTTGGAGATGTTTTTATTTAATGACCCTATGATGTTTTGTGTAAGTATAGCATAGTTTACTTAATTGTTCCCATATTATAGAGGAATGATTTTGTTTTTCTTTTTACCAAATATTTTAGAGAATGTTATGCTGAATGTGTTTGTTTGGAAGTATTTCTTCAGTATAGATTTCTTGTAATGAGTCAAGTTAAAGAGAATATAAATATTTATAAGGATGTATTATGTGTTGTCAGTATTTTTTATTTTTTTAAATTAATTTTATTGTCAAAGTATTATCTAAGAGACTCATGCTCATACTCTCAGCATTAACATAAGTGCCCATTTTAACAGTTACCAAGGTGGGAGTAGTCTTTTTGTTTTCCCTTTCCTTTTTAGTTCGTCTTTTCTAATTTCATAAGCAAAATATATATACATATACATATATATATATATATACATATATATATGTATATGTATGTATGTATATGTGTGTGTGTGTGTGTGTATATATATATATATATATATGCATACATACATACATACATATATATATATTGCTGTGGTTAGCTTTTTTAAATCACTGATGAAGGGCCGGGAATGTAACTCAGTGGTTCTACCGCCTGCCTCGCAAGCGCAAGGACCCAAGTTCGATCCCCGGTACCAAAAAAAAAAAAGAAAAAGAAAAGAAACATTTTCCACAACATTTCTTGATCATTTCTGTTTCTTTTATGAATTATCTGTTCATGTTCTTTGCCATTTGTCAAATGGAACCTTACTGTTTCTTGTCCCTAAACACACAGTATTTTTCTGTTATACATGGCAGATAATTTTTGATAGTTGGTTTTAACTGGAGGAGCAGTACATGAAGGGAAGTTTTTAGTTTTTTAAGTAGAAAAAATTTCTTTCTTTCCTGTTAGCTTTTCCATCACTTTTGAAAAAGCTGACACTCTCACAAAACAAACTCTGGATTATTTACTAACATTGTTCTTAAGCTTGCTTTCCTCTCCTTCCCATGACATATATAAAAATTGTATAGAAATACCAAAATTTGTTTTGCAAAGACATTCTGTAGCCGGGTGTGATGGCGCATGCCTGTAATCCCAGCACTTGGGAGGCTAAGGCAGGAGGATCGCTGTGAGTTCGAGACCAGCCTGGACTACATAGTGAATTCCAGGTCAGTCTCAACTACATAGTGTGACCCTGTCTCAAAAAAACAAAACAAACAAACAAACAAGACAGTCTGTCTATAAACTTCTACCATAATTTTCAACAAAGAAAGCACACATTTCTGGGCTAAAAGCTCATTTCATAATAAAAGAAATGATCAGGTTCTATGAAGTAGTGTTAAGTTCTGTGACCTTTTGGGATACCTTGTAATTTACTTATAAATGATCTGTAATATTTCATAGGATATAGATTAGATGGTACTTGCTTAGTGTTGCTGCAGATAAAATTAAGCAGATCAGAGTTCCTCCCTGGATGAGCACCTTTGTTGAAATTAAGAGGGAAGTCTTTCAAATTAGATTTGCAGTGGTTCATGAGAGGAGGCGTATCTGGTCACATGGAGGTATATGTTCCCTTAAAATACAGTCCAATGTCACATAACGACAGGAATGATTTCTAAATCTGTACCATTAAATGATTTAAGGTTGTGTTAACATCATAGAGCATATTTAAACTAAGACAGCTACGATGTTGCTAGACAGTAAAATCTTATAGGACCACATACACAACTGCACTCAAATATAAGAAGTATCTTAAAAGCACTGAGATGGTCTCATGGTATCACTGAGCATAGACTCCCTGAGCAGACCTACTACATATGAATAGAATAGCTGCTCCAGCCTTTATGGACATTGTGTTAGTTATTTTTAATCTTTATGCACCTAACGTTTAAGTAGTTGTAAGGATTAGTTATAATAAATGTCAAATACCAACCTCAATGCCTGGCCTAAAGCAGTTGCTTAATTAAAGATAAATAAGGTAGCTCGGTTTTTGTGGAAAGAGCATTTTGGAAATTGACTGCAGTTCCAGTCATAGCTCAGCTGTTTTCTGCCCTGCAACTATCCAGCAGAGTTGCTGTATGGAATAGAGTAGGGATTGGTGTAAGGGGCCCAGCCACATAAGAGTCATTCAGGAAATAGTAGCTGTTGCTGTATTGATTCGAATTTCTAAGGTTAAATATTGTTATCATAGTTTTAAGTCTGTACTTGTCTTTCAAGTGTCATTGCAAATTGAAGGTTCCAAGTGACGTTCTTTATTTTAACAGCTGCTTGGTCTAGTGTGGATAGGGGAATGAATACCTCTGAACAGAATTCTGCTTCTTTTGCATCTCTCACACTTAACTCTGCTGTTTCTGGTATGTGAAAACAGTCTTTCATTTAGTTAACCAAAATATTTTCTTTTTAAATTAATTTTAGCACTTGTTATTTGAAAAATAATCAGCATCAAGTACTGCTATCAGCATAAATAATCCATAAATTAACTGGCAGAGACCTTTAAAGGGAACGAGGGAGGGCAAAACCTAAGTCTTTATATGCAAGTGGTTTAGTTCCTTCCTGCACAGGAGTAAGGATGTCTCTGTGGCCTGACGTCACTGGCAGTGCACTGGCACAGACCAGCACTCATGGGCAGCCTTCTTTCTAGGTCAGGATCACACTCTTCTGTTACTAGTGTACTCCTGCCATATCTCTGGTTGCAATTTGAGTTTTTATTTCTGTTTGCATTTATTCATCATGTGTTTATAACCAAGCCTTTTAGGTTGTAAGGACCCCCACATAATAACTACTTGGAATATGTTGGTTTAGAATATACACCATTTTTAATGAACTATCAATTCAGCATTACTTAACTTGGTATGCCTTTCATTAATCATATAAAAGCTACATGTATTTAACAAACAATACATGAATGGAGGGGGCACTAGTTTGCAGTGCTTGGTTCAAGTTGGAATTAACAGCCTCAGTTTACTAATTGTATTCCACAGTGTTTGGTGTGACTAGTCTAGGATAAGTGTTGGCACATTTTTCCTGTAAAGGGCCAAATAGTAAATAATCTAAGCTTTGTGGGCTGTACTGTTTCTGTTGCAGCTACTCAGCTCTTCCATGGTAATAGAAAAATAGCCAGAGATAATGTATAAGCACATAATTGTGTCTGGTTCCAAAATATTACTCTTTTGATTTTTCCCCCCAAAGGGAAGTTCTATTTGGCTTGCAGTGATTTTTTTCCAACCATTTAAAAATGTAGAAACTATTCTTGACTTGTGGACCATACAAAAACAGGATGGTTGAATTTGGCCACCAAGATCACAGTTTGCCCCAGGTTTCCTTGACCACATTTCCTTCAGTTCCAGAAGTGCCATTTCATTGCTTCCTCCTTTGGTGACTTTGAACAACACAGATGCTGTTCTCTTCGTACATTGAGGACACAGCAACATGGCTGCTGAAGTAGCAGAGTGACAAAAGTGCTTCTAAGCAGCTAATTTGCTAACTATGTACTACTTTTGTAGGTTATTACATTTTGCATAAATACGTATAACTGTTTTGAGTATGTATTAGTAGAATGCTAGTAAGATCATCTGTAATGGAGTGGAAATTTATATATTAGTGAGGACTCTCGGGGAACAAATGATTCCATGTTAGTCTATTGTACTAACCAGGGGTCTTCCCTTCTTAACCGTTTCAGTGGCTCTGTATCCAAAATGAGTATCAAAGTTACCTGCCTACTTTTGACATGTAGGAAAGTTCTGATTCTAAAAGTTTGGGGTATATATAAATACACCTGGTGCACAATCACTGCTTTCATTTATATTCCAAAATGTATACATGGCTGTAGAGCAAGGAGTTTCAAACCTAGCATCCATGATACACCCCCAAAACTATATGCAAACTTTGTGTGAAGTTCTGGACTTTTGGCCACCATAGCATTCATCAGATTGCTAAAGGGCCTACTATTCCCTCACACCCCCAAAAAGACAAAACTTGGGATATTCTGTGTTCTTCAGTGTTCCTTAATTTTCTGAACTTCTAACAGCTCTCGTGTGTCTGTTCTCTGGCTCACCTCTCTAGATGATCGTTGGTCTGTTTCTTTTCTTTTTTTTTTTTTTTTTGTACCAGGGATTGAACTTGGGACCTTGCACTTGCAAGGCAGGCGGCGGAACCACTGAGCTAAATCCCCGGCCCCCATTGGTCTGTTTCTTTAACTTTTCTTGGCCAGGAAAGCTCTTGCTAACTCAGACATTATCTAGTTCTTTCTTTGAGGGTGCTAAGGATTGAGGCCTATCCTGAAACACCCCAAATGAATGACCAGTGACCACGTTTCATTTGTGCTTTACTACTTGTCACTAAGAAGGAAAATAAAACAACTTTATTTTGACTTCTTGAAATTGGTTAGATAACCTAGTTTGAAGTATATATTACAAGACAAAATCTAATGGATTAGTAAAGGGACAAAAAATTTCTGATCAGTGACTACTATCAGATTTAATCTAAAATTATCCTCAATTCTACTTTTCTTTTTAACTTAACTCTTTATAATGTCTAAATTTTTTCTTTTAGGAAAAATAAAAAAATAAAGTCTCCTTGTGCAAAGTATAGAACTATTGTTATGAAACATTAGGAAATTCCATTTTTAATTTTATTGCATTCATTTTTCATTTAAGGTTCTACTGCTGAGCCAGTTTCTCAGTCTACCACTTCTGATTATCAGTGGGATGTTAGCCGTAATCAGCCCTATATCGATGATGAATGGTCTGGGTTAAGTATGTCCTTTTAAAAATTATCAGTTATTTTTCTCAGAATTTTCTTTTAGCTCCCTGAATTCATGCCTTATGTTTTAATCCTAATTTCTCACCTTTATAAAGCTAATAGTAGTATAATTTAATACCAAATGTACTACTTGAAATCTGAGTATTGAATACCTATAGAATTAAAACTAAATTTTCATAGTGATTGAGACAGTATTTAAATATGAAGTCTTATAGTTACTCTGTAGTATTTCTTTTTTTTTTTTTTTTTTTTTTTTTAACAAATGGTCTATTCTGTTTCCTGTACCAAAAAAAAGAGGATAGAGTACACACAGGACTGGCTTTGGATTTGGGAAGTGTGCGTGTTTTGTGGTAACAGAAAGCTGCTTTCTTAGCTTAGTTTCTAGTAAGAGCGTAGAGAAGATTAAAAGGTAAGAATCATTTAAAAAGAGGAAAGGAAAAGGAAAATGGCTTTCATGTTCAGAAAGCTTTTCATGTAAAAATAAAAGTATCTGGAGGTTTTTTTAAACTATCATAACTTGAGCCGGGGATTTAGCTCAGTGGTGCCGCCGCCTGCCTTACAAGCAGAAGCCCCCAAGTTCAATCCCTGGTACCAAAAAAAATAAGATAAAAAATAAACTATCATAACTCCAAATTTCAGAATTTAGTTCTTTGAATTGTATTTCACTTTCTTTTCTTTTTTTTAAAGCACTTTTGTGCAACCCTTTGGGATTTCCCACCAGTTTGCTCTTTCTTTTAAAAAACAGTACAATTTTTAGAGGGTTTTTTGTACCAATTGGAAATAATTTAATTAAAAAGAAAATATTCTCGTGATGTAATATAAGTAAAATATGTATCTCTTTGGTGCATTTAAAACAAAACAAAACTTGCCGGGCATGGTGGCGCACGCCTGTAATCCCAGCACTCGGGAGGCTGAGGCAGGAGGATTGCTGTGAGTTCAAGACCAGCCTGGACTACATAGTGAGTTCCAGGTCAGTCTCAACTATGTAGTGAGACCCTGTCTCAAAAAACCAATAAAAAAAAAAAAAAAAAAAAAACTTTTCTGTAGGGTTTTTTTGTTGTTACTATTTCTGTTTTTGGTATTGGGAATTGAACCTCAGGACCATCACATTAAATCACATTCCCATTCGTCTTTATTTTAAGACAGTGTCTGCTAAGTTACGCAGGCTGGGGTCAAATTTAGGATTCTCCAGCTTCAACCTCTCAGTCTGGAATTACGTGCATGAACCGTCACACCCAGTACACTTATTCTTTGATATACAGAGCACCTCTTGCAGTGCTTTATACATACATGTTAGTAGTAGTAATAATGATGATAAAAGTAAGCACAGGACTGTGTGCCAGGCACTGGTCCAAGTCTTGCATGTTATTGGTTCACTTAATACAACAATTCTATGCAATAGGTTTTTTCTCCCTACAATTTCCAGATGCAGAAACTGAGGCAAAATTACCTAACTTTTCCCAAGCCATACAGCTAATTAAATAGTCAAGGGTGGTATTCAAACCTTGCTAATCTGGCTCCAGCTTTCGTCCTCTTTACCCGCTCCATGGAACAGGCTTGATGCTGCTGCTGTGACGGTAAGCTTGCGCCACAGTGGTTGAAGCACAGTAATTACAGGTTAAGGGTGAAGAGACTGGCAAGGTCGATTTGGGAGGGCCATATTGTAAACTGCCTTCAATTGCTGCTGAAAATTGGGGAGGTGGAGGTTAGAGTCCTGGTTTAAAAGGTAATGTCTGAGTTTTGATCCTGACTCTATCTAAAATACAGAATCCCATATTGCTTGGACTTTGTCACTTATTTTGGAATCTAAATTAATTGAGCTATATAAAATGGAACAAATACATCTTTCAACAAACTAAGATTTTAGTGAAGTACTAGATAAACATAAAAACTCTCAGTAAATTACAGAGTAGCATATAAATCCAAGCTCCACAAAGAATGGTCTGCTGTATGCAGAGCAGAATAAAGAAGTGATTATAGAGATCATAGGAATGATTGAGGAAAGCAGCAGTGAGATCTTGGGCTGCTGTGGGTTGAGGTTGTGGAAAACCAAGCAAATAGGGCTCCAGGCTTTACCACTGGACAACGTAGCTCACTTTTTTTTAGTACATGTGCTGCCAAAGTGAGCACTGTTAGCTTATTGTATTAGGTGCTTTAAATATGAAAAAAACATGATTAACTGCGAACTGAGAGATTTTTAAAAACGTAGTGCAGAATTCTGTACTTAAGTAATATGTTTGAGGAACGCCGTCTTCCTCAAGTTTGTCTCTGTTGGTGGTCTTAAACGCTAAACTCATTTTGTCTTAATTTTATCTTCCGTGTTGCCATTTTAGTGTGGCTCTTTTTTGATACTGAGTGGATTTAATTATTACAAGTTTATAGAATGTTATTTCACTTTTGAGGTTAATTTACAGAGTATGTTGTTAGCTTTACATTTACAGTATAGTGTGATATGGCTCATATATTCTCTCTGTGGTTTAGATTTAGATACCATTAAATGACAGAGGCATTGAATATGCCCAAATTCTTGAATATAAGGTCAAGATGCTAAAATGCAGAAGGTGACCTTTTTTTTTTATATACCGAGGATTGAACTCAGAGCCTTGTGCTTGCAAGGCAGGCAGAACCACTGAGCTAACTCCCTAGCCCCAAAGGTTAAATTTTTAAAGTGAATGTTAATCTATCATCTTGACCACAGAAGAATTAATATTATTATAACCCTTATAGAAAGTAGGTGTTGAGTAGGACTTTATTTTTGTTGGCCCACAGAACTGAATGAATGAATTTGGGCTGGGGATTTAGCTCAGTGATTCTGGTACCTGTCTTGCAAGCGCAAGGTCCCAAGTTCGATCCCCAGTACAAAAAAAAGAAAGGAAGGAAGGAAGGAATTTGTTTTAGCATAGTGAGGTTAGGTTAAGAGCATGAGGTTTCAGGATGGATTACCTGAGTTTGAATCTTAGATTTCTTGCATTTGGCCATTTGCAAGTTGCATGATCATTCTCTGCCTCAGTTTACTCATCTGTTGAGATATTAGCTCCTCCCCCACAGTTGTAAAGATGAAATGAGTTCCTACACATAAGCAGTGAGAAAGAGCACTGCCTTGAGTGTGGTCAGGGTCTGGTGCCTGCTGCTGTCCTTCTAGTGCCAGAATTAGTAGTCTACTTGAGGTTGATCAACATCGCCTGTGTAAACACTGAAGAGTATTTAACTGTACATAAGCATTTTGTTTTACTAATGTGATTAATTTTGAATTAAGTTCTGACAGAAATAGCTGGCAACTAAATGGAAACCAGCAATGGATGTTTTAAGTACTTAACTAAATTTTTATCCTTCATCACCACTTCCTACCATATTTATTCATAAAATGGCCCAGATGCTAGTAATATTGTCCATTCGGTTGCCTAAATTTTTTGCTGCTTGATAGTTTCTTTTTTGGCAAGTGGTCTTAGAGACATAGCTAATGGACAACAGTTTCGCAAATCTGGGTTTCTTAATGTTTAAGCAAAACTCATGGCAGCTCTGACATTTGATTTCCTTAATAGTATTGTTAATGAGTGCTTGATACACTATGACAGTTGGTTCCAAACACCTAGTAGATCCCTTTGTACTTGTAAACATTATTGTACTTCCAAGACATATTAAATGTGTCTTGCTGAGAAATTCATCAGGGTTATGAGAAATAAAGTCCCTGATTACATAGTCCTAATAGCTCAGAAATGGCGTTCATGTAATTACAATAATTACCATTTATTGAGCACGTACTGCATTGCTGTGAACTGTATAATCCTCCCAGCATAAAGTTGGGATGTAGCCCATTAAGATTAAGGAATTTAGCTGGGCATAGTGGTATATACCTGTAATCCAAGTAGTCTAGGAGACTGAAGAAGGAGGATCACAAGTTTAAACCCAGCCTGGGCAACTTAATTAGCAAGACCGTGTCTCAAAATTTTTTGTTTTGTTTTATTTTGTTTTGTTTTTGGTACCAGAGATCTAACTCAGGTCCTTGCACTTGCAGGGCAGGTGGCAGAACCACTGAGCTAAATCCCAGGCCCCTGTCTCAAAATTTTAAGAAGGGCTAGTGATGTAGCTCAGTACAACAGCCCCAGTTTCAATTCCTGGCACCAAAAAGAGTTCAGAAATTTGACCAAAATCACATTTTTTGTTTTTGTTTTTCCAATATGGGGGATCAAACTTAGGACCTTGTGCTTTATGCGGCAGTCTCAGTGCCATGAAGCTAAATCCCTGGCCCTGGAAATCGTACTGTTACTAAGTGATGGGAATATTCAAATGTACATCTGTTGAACAACTGTAAGGCCCATGCTCTTAACCTCTGTGTTAACACTATGTGCTACTAACTCCAGATACCCACTCATGCTAGTGACTTTGAAATGCAGGGAAGACTCCCTTTTTTGTAACGTATTTTGCACTATAATCACGTACTCTGTCTGTCCTCCCCTGGACTTACCAGTCTCCTCATCTTCAGTCTCTCCCTGTCCTCTACTGGTTTTAGCTCCCCTTCTTTGCTTTTCCCTCTGTGATGAAATCTATCTCTGTTCTTAATTGTCTGGTATGCTTCCCTGTTTCCATCCCCGACAGATAGACTATGTATGTGGGGAGGGATTCTCTTACTGACTTCTGTTATCTCTGGAACCTACCCGGCTCCAATTCTAATACATAGTAAGTGCTTAATAAGGGTTGAACAGATGAAATTCCTGGAATTCCACTGTTAAGGTACCTGTTTATTAATGTATTATTTTCTTCTGTCTCTTCCTCACATAAATTTCGGTTTTTGTTTTGTTTTGGTTTTTGGTTTTTTGAGACAGGGTCTCACTATGTAGTTGAGAGCGAACTGGAACTCACTATGTAGCCCAGGCTGGTCTCGAACTCACAGCGATCCTCCTGCCTCAGCCTCCCGAGTGCTGGGATTACAGGTGTGCGCCACCACGCCTAGCTCTCACATAAATTTGGGATCATGCTATGCAAATAGTTTTGTCTGTGATTTTCTTTTCTGTGTGAGCATTTTCATGGATTAGTATATGATCTTCCAAAACCCTTCATGAAGATATATTATATCATCTTCCCCCAAACAAAAATAATAAAGAGTTCACCTGGAGAAAAAAAGAGAAACCATAATAATAAAAGTAATACAAGATGAGTCCTTTTAGGTCTATAGTATGTTAATTATGTATGGCATTATCCTAAGAATAAATCAGTGGACTAGAATAGAGATTCCGAAATAGACTGTGTATTTGAAAAAATTAATATTTGATAAAAATAGTAATAGTTATGGGAGACGATTGGATTTTTGCAGTTAAATAATGTTAGGACAACCATAAGGAAATAAAGCCTATCCGTAGTCATCTCAAATCATCATCAGTAAAACCTGATCTTACAGGAGATATGTGTGAGTCAGAAAGGAATTCACTTGGACAGCCCCTTGTTTCCAGGATAAAGCCAAAGAATGTTTCTTCTTTTTAGGGCAAGTCAGTGATAGCTTCCCAAAGAAAGTAAAATTTTAATGCCTCCTGGATGAAAGAAAGGGATTTGGAAATCTGGAATTAAATTTATTTTTGAGACAAAGATGTATAAAGCCCTGAAAGTGATGTAAATGCTTTTGAAATAATCAGATAACAGGATTAATCTGGAAAATTCAAGAAGGGTACATACTAAGCATTAAAAGAAGTTATAACACATTCTCTCAGGCCTGGTAAATCTGAAGAACTTAATCTTGAAAAGTTCATAAGGATGAGGGAAGAGTAGTGTCAAACAACAGGTTGAAGAATATAATTTTGGTACTGCTGTTAAAGATTAATTTTGTACCAAAAGTTTTTTGGTACCAGGGATCAAACTCGGGACCTTGCATTTGCGAGGCAGGTGGCACCACTGAACTAAATCCCCGGCCCTTGATCAGTTTTTTAAATGTGATTATTGAAAAAAAAGAATAGCCACATTAAAGATGGACAGTGAAAAGAGTGTAAACTCAGGAGACTGAAAAAGGAAAAGAATGGAATTAAGTGATTAAATACAGTACTAAATTTTTAGAATACCTTAAAAATTATTTTAGCCATAAGCCTAGCAGAATTTGGATAAAGGCTGTTACCAGCATGTTATCTTTTTTTTTTGTTTTTTTTGATTGCTCATGAGACAGAAGAACAGTGGTTTTAAATTGCAGCTTAATTCACCATAAAGAATTATTAGTTTTCATTTATGGCAGAAATGATACATCACTAATTAAATCACACTTAAATTTTAGATGGTCTGTCTTCAGCTGATCCCAGCTCTGATTGGAATGCACCCGCAGAAGAGTGGGGGAATTGGGTCGATGAAGAAAGAGCTTCACTTCTCAAGTCCCCAGAATCAGCTCCTGAGGATCAAAAGGTAAGGTATTAGCAAGTGTTTGTTATAAAAGAGTGTGAAGGGGAAGAGCTGGATCACACAGGCGGAGACCATTAGGAGTGTCAAGAAGGAGGGCTGGTTCCACCGCCTGCCCCACAGGGATAAGGTCCCTAGTTTGATCCCCAGAACCAAAAGAGGGTCAAGAAGGAGACAGTGAACAGAAGAGTAGGTAGTAACATTAGAACTGAAAAGCATCTCTGAATTTGCTTCCACATAATTTAGGCAGTTTCATTAAAAATCTTGACATTAGGGCTAGGGGTGTAGCTCTGTAGTACAGCACATCCTTAATAGGCAGGAGACACTCAGTTCAGTCGCCAAGCATGGTGGTGCACACCTGTAAGCCAGCACTCGAGACGCTGAGGCAAGAAGATCTCTGTGAATTCAAGGCCAGCCTGGGCTACGTAGTGAGTTCCAAACCCAGCCTGAACTACACAGTGAGACCCTTCTCAAAAAAAAAGAGAGAGAAAAAGATGGACCAGAGATTTAGCTCAGTGGTGCCACCACCACCTGCCTCGCAAGCACAAGGACCCAAGTTCAATCCCTGGCACCAAAGAGAGAGACAGAGAGGGAATCTTGACATAGAAACCACATGTCAGGAAGTCGAATGATGAAGGGACAAACGTAGTTTAACAAATACGAGTTTTTTAAAAATAAGTTCGGATAGGAATAGGGAAGTGACAGTAAATGATAGCAACATATGGTACCAGGAAGGGTTATGTGGAGGAGGATGTTGTTGTTATTTTGAGGTACTGGGGATCCAACTGTGGTCCTTGTGCTTTCGAGGCAGGTGGTGGAGCCACTGAGCTAAATCCCCAGCCCCGTTGTTTTTAATGGTAGATTTTTGTGTAAGGTTGGCAGACTTGTTAGGAAGGAGCCGTACAGTACAATCTGATGCAGCCATCAGTAATATGGAAGTAAAGTTTAAAGGAAGTGATGTTAGATGGATTAGTATATCCGTAAACAAAAAGGAAAGGGATCTACAATAAAGTAAAACATTAAACATGCAGGACAGAGAGTATTTGACTAATAGAATAGTGTCCTGGAGGAGGCAGGAAAGGATGGAGAAACCATAGGCACAGATGGGTGGGTCAGTCATGAATCCACTATTTAGAACTTCTTTTGTGTCCACCCAACCAATTTTTTTAAATGTGTGGGAATCCACTTAGAAATACTTACATGATCAGCCGGGCATGGTGGCGCACGCCTGTAATCCCAGCACTCGGGAGGCTGAGGCAGGAGGATGGCTGGGAGTTCGAGACCAGCCTGGGCTACATAGTGAGTTCCAGGTCAGACTCAACTACATAGTGAGACCCTGTCTCAAAAAACAAAAACAAACAAAAAAAAGGATACTTACATGAGTGGTATATCTTTCAGTAACTTCCTTGTCATTAAGCAAGCATGTTTTTGAGATTCTGTTCATATTGTTTACTGTAGTGGTGGAGGCTGGATAAAGGAGAGGTACTAATGGGCGATTGAGAGAGCAGAGACTAAATTTTGTTTTGTTTTTTTTGTTTTTTTGTTTTTTGTTTTTTGAAACAGGGTGTCACTATGTAATTGAGACTGACCTAGAACTCACTGTGTAGCTCAGGCTGGTCTCGAACTCACAGCAATCCTCCTGCCTCAGCCTCCTGAGTGTTGAGATTACAGGCATGTGCCACCACGCCCAGCTAAGCAGAGACTAAATTTAAAGGGGTATAATAAACAGGCAATATGAAAGTTGAGGTGGGAAAAAATCAGTGTGTTTTTGGTTTTGTTTTTGTTTTTTCAATACCAGGGATCAAACTCAGGACCTTGCACTTGCAAGGCAGGCACAGGGCCACTGAGCTAAATCCCTGGCCCCCAAAATGAGTGTTACATTAGGCCCACAGAAGCTTTCTAGTACTCTACCTTACCACAAAGAAATTGTTCAGAGTCTGTCAAAAAAAGGTATGCACACTTGAGGAAAAGAAAAATAAGTGTCTGGAAGCTAAAGGCCACTTTGAGCACCTTTTGTAATTTTCATGCTGTCTCAGTAAATTTAATGTTAAAATATTTATAGAAGTTTTTCTTTAGAAAGCTTGGTGGTATGGTTGTGCATGCTTATAATCCCAGTACTCACTGAGGCAAGAGAATTGGTAGGAGTTCGAGGTAAGCCTAGGCTCCATAGCGAGTTCAAAGCTAGTCTTGGCTACATAGTGAGTCCCTATCTCAAAAACACAAGAAAAAAAACATTTAATTAAAAATCCAAAATAAATTGTCAAAATGTTAGCTTTTTTATATGAATTAAAAGATGGTAAAGCATTGATTTCAAATTTCAACCGCATTAAAAATAGTATTTAGGGGCCCGAGGATTTAGCTCAGCGGTTTGGTGGCCTGCCTTGCAAGTACAAGGACCTGAGTTCAATCCCCCGTACCAAAAAATATATATATTTTTTTTTTTCCGGGTGTGGTGGCACATGCCTGTAATCCCAGCACTCGGGAGGCTGAGGCAGGAGGATCGCTATGAGTTCAAGACCAGCCTGGGCTACATAGTGAGTTCCAGGTCAGTCACAACTACATAGTGAGACCCTGACTCAAAAAAAAAAAAAAAACAAAAGTTTTGCCATGGAGAAATACGTTTTGTGGGGGTGATGGCATTCTAGTGGGCTGAGAAGCAAACTGAAGAATATTCTCCATTGGGTGTGCCAGCTCATAGGGTATTTTATTTTTTATGAGCCTACAAAGCACTTCATGGTAAAAACTGCTACAGAAGTTGCCTCCGCAATTGTTGGGCTTAAAATTGCTTAGTCGAGTTTATGCCATTGTTTGGTTTTTCCATCTGTTAGTAATTTCTATAAGCTATTTGACATTACCCAAATCATCCTACCACTGTGATGCTGAGCAGAGAAATAGCAGTTACCCAGTTTCTAAGGTAAGTAAGGGGAGCATAGGAACGAAATTAAGTTGTCTCTGAGAGCAAGCAGAAAGTTTCCCAGAGTTTAACTACATGGTATATGTGAGGGGCTGGGGATTTAGGGATTTAGCTCAGTGGCACCATGTCTCCCTCACAACCACAAGGTCCTGAGTTTGATTCCAGCTACCAGAAAACAAAAAACATGGTATATGTGAAGCAGTATCAGAAATACTGACTTATAGTTCCAATTTGGTAGGCATTTCCTTGGCATACAAAATGTTTTTTTAATGACATTCCTTTTCAAACTCAGTTTTTTAAGCTAGGCCATTGAGTCATAGATTCATATCTAAGAAATGATGTACAGCATAGTAAAGAAAAACACAAATATCGAAAAGCAAATAAAAAATACACAAAGCAATTTCCATTCATTTTGCCCAATTTCTCCCAGTTACCATTGGGAGAGCAAGTACAATATCACGGCCAGGATGGTGACGTTCATGTAGTCCACGATACAGCATTTCTGTCACAGGGGTATGTTGCCCTCCTCTAGCCCGCCTTCCTTCCCTCCTCACCCTAACCTCTGCGGTCCCTTCTCCGGCTCTACAGTTCTGTCATTCCAAGGGCATCATCCTGGCTGTGGGCAGTGACACATTACTGTAGTCCCAGCTACTCAGGAAGCCAACGTAGGACGGTCCCAGAAGCCCATGAGTTTGGGGACAGCCTGGGCACCATAGCAAAAGATTTGTTTTTAAAAAAGAGCCAGGAGCCGGGCATGGTGGCTCACACCTGTAATCCCAGCACTCAGGAGGCTGAGGCAGGAGGATCGCTGTGAGTTCAAGAGCAGCCTGGGCTACATAGTGATTTCCAGGTCAGTCTCAACTACATAGTGAGACCCTGCCTCAAAAAAAAAAAAAAAAAAAAAAGAGCCAGGGATTTAACTCAGTGGTTCCGCCACCTGCCTTGCAAGCTCAAGGTCCCGAGTTCAATTCCTGGAACCAAAAACAAAACAAAAAAATATTGTATTTCAGGATTTTATACTATGTCGATTTTTAATATTGGTGGGTTGGGGGTGTTTATTTTTTTCACTCAACAGACTTCTCTGGAGATTGTCAGTTTATTCTTTTACCACTAACTTGTACATTTTTGTTGCTGAGATTCCATGTTCTGGGTTTACCTGAGTTTAACCATTCTCCTGCTGACGCATTCAAGTTGTTTTCAGTTTGGTTTATTATAGATGACACTGCCAGGAGACAGTGTTGAGAGGTCTTTTGTAAGCGTGTGTTCATTTCCCTGGGCTAGACATGCAGACTGTCACTTCTAGGTGGTGTGGCTGCATGTGATAATTCAAGAAACTCTCAAAATATTTTCTGAAATGTCCATATCACTTGATGTGCTCTTGGACCATGTTTGGATGTCTTGTAAGCATTTGCAGTTGTTAGTGTCTCTTCTTTTAGTTATTCTGATAAGTAACCGCACTCATTGTGGTTTTGATTTGAATGTTCCTAAGAGCTCTGCTGTGGAGAGCATGAAAGCCTGCTGAATAATGTCCCTGATATAAAATGGAGTTTGTCTTGCCTCTCTTTGTTCTGTATTAGAGTATAGTTCCTTTTCTTCTGAGTATAGTTCCTTTTCTTTTGTTTGTTGCAAAATTGCATGCGCTATATCATGTATTGAGCTATGCCAAATAAGTATTGATCACGAGCTGATCATGCCTTTGTGGTTAGAGAAGCATAAGTCATGTGTAGCCTGTTTAACCTATCATGAATAGCTCCGTTGCTGTAATAGACTATATTAGTTGTTGTACTTCCCCTATCGAGTGCCTTCTCCTCAACTTCAATAAAGTCCTCAGAAGGATCCTAACTGTTGCGTGTCTCCTTGCTGGCAAGCGGCGCGCGACACTCTGCAGTGTTGAATATTTTTCTATGTACTGCTCTGACATCTGTTTTATCTTTGATGAACTGTCTATTCATATTTTTGTATGTTTTCTAATTGTGTTGTGGTTTTGTTATTATCTTTCGTGTTCTTTGTATAGTCTACCTACTAGTTATTGTTGGAACTACCATATCTCCCACTCTGCAAACTGTCAGTTCATTCTCTTAGCAGGATCAAACTAAACTTCAATGCAAGTAGCTCTGCATTTTCTACTCCACATTAAAACAGAATTATGAGGCTGGAGATTTAGCTCAGTGGTTCTACCGCCTGCGCCTTACATGTGCAAGGTCCTGAGTTTGATCCCCAGTACCGAAAATAAAACAAAACAAAACCAAAAAACCAGAATTACCTGGCGGGGCATGATTGTGTATGCCTGTAATCCCCCACCCATTCAGGAGGCTGAGGCAGGAGGATCCCATGAGTTTAAGGCCAGCCTTGGCTATACAGTGAGTTTAATGACAGCCTAAACTATATAGGGAGCATTGTTTCAAAAATAAAAATAAAGGGCTGGGGATTTAGCTCTGTGGTTCTACCACGTGCCTTACAAGCACAAGGACCCGAATTCGATCCCCAGTACCAAAATAAAAATTTTTAAATTTTATTTAAATTATAA